GTATCAGATGTGTCCGGCGAGCTGAGGCGTGTACCCGCTGAGGTTGGTCCACTGCGGAGTCATGTGATTCCGTCCTCAGGTGCCGCGCGTTTAACGTCCCCCGAGCCACCGCCTGCACAGTCTCCACTGGATTCAGAAGAGGACAGCCGTGCCGCCGGTCGACTGATCTTCGTGAGGTGCCGGGTTCGACGGGACATTTCCATGTTCCCCCGGGGACCTCTTGGGAGAGCAAGTCCACCTCCCCTGGGGGCCCAGCCACAAGGACTCGATCAAAAACTCTTCGGTTTTCGTGATCCCCATGCACGCACACTCCCACACCATCGATTGGTTGTCGCACTCGGCAGGCCATATCGGTTATTGGCTGAACCTAGCCTTTATTGTGCTTGTGGGTGTTGTTACACAGTGAGGGTGGGAGATGTTGGTGATGGAGGGGGTTCCGAGCGTTTGCATGTTACTGTGTTTTGTTTGATTTCTCTCTCTCTTCCCTTGTTGCCTATTGTTCTGTACTTTTGTCCCCTTTCCTCGATAGTTACTGTATAATTGTATATACAGAGTACATATTGTATAGATGGGTTTGGGTATTTATTTGTTGAGGCACGCTAAGGGTTTGTTCAACTGTTTGTTTTTCTAACGGGGAGTTAACAGCCAGGACGGCTGAGTACTATGAAGGCGGGGGGTGATGTAGTGACATCGCGGATGTCACTGTGTAGTTCCCGCCCTTGAGGGGCTCGGTGAGCGCTGGATGGCACCACGCATGGAGTGCAGTGCCGATCCTGAAAGGATGGGGTGTGAGTGCCGGCCACGGGAATGGGGTTACTTTGGGCCGTGGCACTCTGGTTGACCCCAGAGGGCACTGGACCGGTTTAGTCTAAACAGGGGCCCCAAGTGGGGGCTAGGGGTGATCACTTGTCAGGGTCAAGATCTTGCCCGAAGAGTCTGGAGGGTGGGCGTGGCCAAGGGCGGAGCCGGCCATGCCGCAGAGCATATAAGCCGAGTCCCCCAGAGGGACCGGCGCTGTTATCATCCTGAAGAAATCTAGGTTCTACATACCACGTCCTACAGTCTCCAATACGTGGTCCGGGACTCAAGCTGGAATCCGGTCCAGTGTAGCCAGTTACCGTGTAATGAGTGCAGTTAGCCTGGTGGTCCAACACCATAGCTTGCTATCCTGTTAAGGGCCAGTTACCTCGGGTGTTGGTATTATGCAAATTTATAGAATTATGTAAATGTATGCCGTTGTGCAAATTAGGCTCGGCTTCATTGCCTAAGGTGTATTACCAATCATGATAATACAATGATTCTCACTTTAACTTTTGCTGATCATGTTTTAGTGTAATTCTATCAGGTCTCAGAATTCAGATCTAACCGCAGGATACAGTTCTTAAAATTAAGATTATGCATGAACTTAAGTAGGAACCACTCAGACTCTTCTATGATAAGCAACTTTAATATCTAAAAACTCTAATATGCGAACACACTTATGATCGGAATTGTCAACACCGTACTCCTGAAGATTTCCTACTCATTGATACATACAATTAACCCTCAATGGTTACGTTTGTTAAAACTGAGTAAAAGAACAATCGGCTAACTCCTCCGAGTAGTGCGACCATATACGGCGATAGGAAACGTCCTTTAAAATTTGTACAATATTCATACGAAACGTGCTAAAGAAACATGCGCCTCATGGCAAAAGTAGACATCAAGTAGTTACAGTATGGATTCCTGCAGTCACGAAAGCTTCAAATCAAGATTTAAGATTATGTAATTAACGAAATGTCCTGAAACAAGTGTGAGTGCTCGTGTGCCTGTTTGGCTAACAGATGCTTATCAATTGGCTATTGGGACATCAATGAATTCACGGGCAAGATTGTGTGATCAAAAGAAAAATCTCAAAACAATAGTATTCCTGGGTGTAGATTGATAATAGTTGCTTATCAATGTTTAGTGTGTCAAATCATTCATTGGTAAGGTTATGTAATTAACGAAAACAAATTACTAAAATACTTATAAACGACCATATTAATGTAACTCAAGGGACAGAACAATGCTTTTCACGATCAACTAATAGTTAATGCACCACCTTGGGATGGCAACCCTTTTCGAAAAACACGGAGATAACTTTTTGGAACAATCATATTTGTACCAATATGTGCGTTGTGTGTGGTGTGTGTTGTCTTCTTGCTAACTATTGAGTTAGCAACTTCCGAGATGCAGCGTTCCTTGTACCGAAAACACCTCAGGTTCCCAGCAGGGGCACTGGGTCTGTGTGTGTTTCGAACACACAGCGCTCTCGGCTGCTTCGTCAGTCCCTCTCCACCGCTGGGGTGGTTGCCGAGTCGGCACGCTGATCACGCTGTCGGCAGTGCCCGTGCTGGCAGGGATGATGGGTCCGGCTCCGTCTGCGTCAATGTGCACGATCATCCCGTCCCCAGACACCGCTCGCAGCTCATCCGCTGGTTGCCAAGCATCACCCCCCTTGGCACCAGTCACTGTTGATCCTTGTAGATTTTGGAGCGACTTGGAGAGGGAGCGCCTATCGTCTCCTCCCCCACCCCCTCTTCAAGAGAGTCCTCTTCCAGTTGCCTGTATGACTCATGCTGCACAGAGGACACGCTACAGATCAAGTTATATCGTTATGTGTCAGTCTCTGATCCGACCCTCAACTAAACTTTTCCTGTGGGTTGCGATTTAAAGGGGCAATCTCACGAATAGTGGTTGCACCAGTTTTCACTCGAAGGGTTGACTTTGATCGGAGCACAATCAGAACGATTTTCTCTATAATCGTAAGTGTTGGCTGTACACAGCGACCTCGACACCGGGAATAGTAATGCTATGGCACTCTTCCCCACGTTTGTATTGTAATACTGCGAGCACTAGCTTTGGCTGGCAGCCTCTCTCAATGACGCAAAAAAGCCTCTCCGTGATGCGTCGCTTCTGCCGATGCGGAGCTCCCTATTCATTTGCCAGTCACGAGGGCAATCCCCGAGCCTGCCACTCGCATTGTGAAAAGCAACAGTTTTTATTTTTAATGATCGCCATAAATGAATGCAAAGGTTCCTCATCCAGTCCAATTATGTGGTTGACGTGTGGATTTCAGCGATACCGCCAGGATGTGCATGGATGGAGCATTCATCGGTGATGTGCTTGATGGTTTGGATTTCTCCACAGTCCACAGTCACAGTTGGACGATTCTTTGAGCAGTACTGATTTCTGTTCTTGCGTTTTTGCTTATATCTGAATTTTTCCACCTCGCGCTTTCTTCTCACAAAGGGGCAGTGGTTTTCCTTTTGAAGTCGCTTGAGCTGTTTGTTGTCCAGATGTCTTCATTACCGCCATGTTTCCATTCACATTTTGGGCAGCGTTCCCCACGCTCCCATCACGGGTTGGAAGTTACATTCTTTTCTAATCACACTTGCAGTCTCTTTCAAAAAGGGGCGCTGTGGCTTTTGAACTCGTGGCCTATTGTGCACGGGTGTGCTTGCTGTCGCCATGTTTCCCGTCCTCTCATCAAGGGTGGGAAGTAAAAACAAGTATTTTACACCTCTTATAGCTTGGTACCATGCCACTTTCCGCTGTTTTTACTCTGCAAGTGATTCAAAGTATGTTTTGAGCAGCGTTCACAGCACTCACGACGCAGTTTGGATTTCTTGCGTGGTATTTGATATATTAAGGGGAGTCGCCCCCCTGCATACATAATATACTGCTACCATGTGCTGTTAGCTACTGGAAGACGAAGGCGGTTGGTGAGGCTCTGATCCTGTGGAATACATTATCTTGGTCATGACTGATTGACATATTTCGCATTGAATCTCGTCTGAATGACTTGAGGTCTAATACTTTCATAATTATTATTTGGTTCATGTTTAACCAAGATGTGGTATACCAAATATGTTAACCTTTGTTCCCCATCAGTATCGCCAGGGATCCGTGCTTCTTATTCTCAAGTTATATTTAGATATCCTGAGGTTGAAGATATAACTAAGCTTCGAACGTTACTGTTCTATTTTTAAAAAAACCCCAGTCAGCTCATGATGATTAACTGCCCTTGGGTGGATTTCGCTGTCTAAGGGAGGTTCGTGACCCCTTCTGTTTCCATCTTACGTTTGCTTTATTGTGGGTTGTTTACCTCATGGCGGCCTTCTCTTTAAGTTAGCCCCCCCCCCATGGGTTTGCCGTTTTTTTATTACATTTTATGACTTCCCAAGCAGGCTTGTGAGTAATTATCCTCCAGCTGTGTGGCAAGGTCGGAGGCGGGGGGGGGGGTGACTCACCCTTTCCGATCCAAATGATTACATTTTTGGAAAAGGCATGTATACAACATACTCTTCGAGTGTTCGTGATACTCCGAGCTGCTGAGGAAATTAAGCAAGCATCATATAAATGCTAATACGATTATCACACCATGAATGCTTGGGAACTTATTGGCTCTGGCTCTTGGTGAGAGATCTACCCAACCCACAGGTCCACAAAGACTGGCCGCTCTTACTCTGCAGGTTGAACCTAGGAATTGAGTGTTCAACTTGACATTCTTTCATTAAAGGCCTGTGACAGGTGAATCTATTGGTGCTTCATTGTCTCAAGCTTACACATCTACTGGGTCTCCATTTGACATTGAATTGTCTAAGAAGTCCACCCACACCTCCACTTCCACAAACTCTGGGGAGTTGTCTCGCTCTGCCTCATAGTCAGAATTATCCTCCTGCTTCACGTTGCCTCCATCGATGTGAAGGTCCGATTTTGGAGTTGAATCTTCATCTTCACATTTTACTGTCACTTCTTCGCTCTTCACTGTCGCTTCTTCAAATTTCACCTTCACCTCTTCAAGTTTCACCTTGATACATTTCATAATGTCCAAGCTGGAATTTACTTTTGGTTCTTTTATCAGGAGGGTTGGGCTCATTGCAGCACTTTGACTGTCACAAGTTGGTTTCAGACTACACTCCTTGGGGAGTGTAGTCTGATGCCTTTGTGTTCTCTGGTGTCTATAAAGATGTGATGACTGTGCAAACGCCTTCCCGCACTGAGTGCACCTGAAGGGTTTCTCTCCTGTGTGTGTTCTCTTGTGTCTACAAAGATATGATGACTGTGCAAACACCTTCCCGCACTGAGTGCACCTGAAGGGGTTCTCTCCTGTGTGTGTTCTCAGGTGTATTTTAAGATAAATTGAAATTGAAAATGCCATCCCACACACACTGCACTTGAAGGGTTTATCTCTTGTGTGCGTTCTCTGGTGTCTTTGAAGATGTGATGACACTGCAAACAGCTTCCCGCACAGAGTGCACCGGAAGGGTTTCTCTCCTGTGTGTGTTCTCTGGTGGTTTTTAAGAGCAGATGAATATGAAAATGACTTCCCACACACACTACACCTGAAGGGGTTCTCTCCTGTGTGAGTTCTCTGGTGCTGTGTAAAATTTCCAGGACGATCCGTACTGTTTGCATACTGGTCGCAATGTTGCCATTTTGTACCGAGCTGCGCTGAGTGCCTTTGCTCCATCAGACCAATTCTGCAGAGGAAGCATCAGGGAAGTGTCAGCTGCAGACAGAAAAACATATTTCCCACCATCTAAGTCAGTATCGAGGCACAGAGGAATGAATACATACACAGTCACACATGAATTACATGTCTATATTTATTCATATATTCAAGAAATTCCCCAATCATCACACGGGCTGTTAAGGCATATAATGAGAGGGCAAGTGGTCAGAAACATGCCCGGAAGCCCTAGTATCTTCAAAATGAATGTTTACCCAAAACTCCAAGCACACAATTTAGGCTGTCTAGCTACGAAAGGAATATTTAAGAAAAATTCAGCTAACATAGCGAAGGGTGTTGAAAATAATACTATTTGTATGTAGAGATGCAAAAATTAATGTTCAATCGAAACTTCGAGGTGTGAAGCCAGGCTCAGATTTGCTTGAATGCTCGGATGAACAGATCTAACTTCAGCTGCATATGTGCCGATATATTTTCCTGACCGGTTTCCATTCTTATAAAAAGTTCCAGAGATAAACTATTGTTTTGATTCAACCTCATTGTTCAATCTTACCAATAAATGTAATTTTGTCTGTCTCTGTGTGCGCACGCTTGCGAGGGATTTGGCTCTCAAACGGTGGGGCTTACGTAAAAAAAAGTCAGGTACCATGCCGTAAGCCCCGTGGTGAGCAAGCGCTATTCCTTTTACCCATCCGTCAACTTTAAATTAGTTTAATTAGCGATTTAGTGCAATTTTTCTTTATGTATTTACTCTCGCCGCTCGGCGCGGGACAAAGCACGCATTTGCGCCTGCGCGAAACGCTGACAGGGGTTGCTCCTAGCAACGCACACACGATCGGCAAAAATTATAATTCGCGTTAAAAAAGCTTAAAAAATACACAAAACGCTGAGGTTAATTCTTCACAGTGTAATGTCCTCTTCTCCCCCCCCCCACCCCAATGCGTGCAGTTACTATCGAGTCCGTAGATATTCATATTATAGCGCTTAGATAATATTATTGTAGCGTGGGTGGGGGTAGTGGCCCAGCCCCCCGCCTGTAAGGTGCCACCTCGGCCCGCTGGGCAATCTAGGCGAGGCCGCCGGCTCTACACAGGACTAGGCCTCACCATGGTATTGTTCAGTGCTAATTTCTTGCTTCGTTCGCTAAACTGATGTCCATAGAAAACGATTATTATATAAAAAAATAACTTAGCAAATCTTACAATAGTAATGTTTGTGTGTAGACATCTAATATTTCAAAATAAAGTTGCTACATATCAATTATTTATGTGTTTTTATTAAGCAGCGCTAGTACACTGGCAGTCTGTAATGTGGCCTGTTGCCTGCTTATTAATTTACGTCAGTGCACTGGCAGTCTATTATGTACACTGTAAACATTGCTACTGGCCAGGGTGAGTGTATGCCAGTCTATAATCTGTTGCCTGCTTCTTTACCTTGCTCAGTGTACTGCCAGTCTTTCATGTAGACTGTATCCTGCTTTTTAAGCTGCTGACCGTATTGCCAGCTTATTATGTCAACTGTAGCAATGCTTAGGTAATTGAGTCAACGTACTTGCAGTCTATAATCTAGACTGTAGTCTGCTTCTTAACTTACCTATGCGCTACTGCTGCTCTATAATGTAGACTTATTTTAGCTTCTTTCTTCAATGCATTTCCATTGTTTCGATTGCTCACGTCACGCTATTTACTGAAATGTAGTACTGCGATGCTGATTACTATGTTTTACTGCTAAATACGTTAGACTTTCCTAGCTACAGCCGATTACATTTCGTCTATCATTTTGTTACATTGGTGCGAAAATCAACTATTTGAAATTTGGCGTACTGCACCTTTTCTTTCCACCCAAGCGGGCAGCACGCAGGAATGTTCAATGCTCCAACTTTTGTTGAGGTTGCTGTTTTTACAGTGGGTGAGGAACATGGTAAGAGAGACATTATGCTTCGATACCAAGACAACACCATCAAATGATTTCCTGAGACAAACAGAGCATATGATGCCCTACAATACCACATTATACTGTGCCAAGGCCAAGATGGGTACCACGTACAGATTTCTAAAATTATCAAAGCTACAGGACAAAGACATCCTCACAAAACTGTCTCCTCTAAAGACGTGTATTCCTTCGTGAACATGGACATAGAAGGAGGAAACCACGTATTACGGTACACCAATCTCTTTCACCAGTATGTTGTCGATGAGTATGCCAAAAATTGAGTGAGCGCCTTCTTTACGTTCAACTGAATAAAAAAAGCCTGTGTGGACAGTGTGCTCATCTCAGGGACGCTATCAATGCCGACGCATATGCAAACGCTCAGAATGTGGGCAGATTAGTTATTTTGCCTTAATCCTTCACGGCTGGACCAAGATACATGCATGTGAAGACTCAGGATGCTATGCTTGTGTTGCAATCGAAATGTCGTATTCTATTATTATTTTATTTCATTTCTTTAATAATACTTTTTGCATTCTGACTGGAAGTATTGTGGTTAATGTAAACATGATTCCTTGCAAAAGGTTTCAGTTTTGTTGCCAGAAAAAAGGGGAAAACCCCTATTATTATATTTTGGTACTGGCAAAGGAAGCCTCATGATCTAGATGCTTACCCCGAGCCCTCATTACTCTGATAGTGCGTTGTCTTTGAACTGTGCACCTTTTGGCGTCATCTGGTCGAACACCGCATGAGACTAGCCTCTAAGGAAAGCTGTATCTGATGTGGACCAATCAGTTTCAAGGACAATGCATGCATTATCAGTGTGGTTTTTTTTTTGCATTCTGACTGCAAGTATTGTGGTTAATGTAAACATGATTCCTTGCAAAAGTTTTCATTTTTGTCGCCAGAAAAATAGGGGAAAAAGCCTATTATTATATTTTGGTACTGGCAAAGGAGGCCTCATGAAACTTTGCCTCTGTGTTGAGGCCTTAAATAGAGAGAGGGGGGGGGGGCAGAGAGAGAGGGGGGTAGAGAAATTAACAGAGGCGGCGGTGTTTCTCTGTGTGCCAATGTGTGTGTCTCTCTCTGTGTCTTTGTGTTATCTCACTCTGCTTGTGTCCGTCTATGTGTGTCTGTGTTTTGTCTCTCTCAAATTTAGCAATCTTTGGAAGAACGTAATCAACCAGGTAGGGTGTTGACTGTTATGTTAGCCGACTCTCTGTGTTATATTGCATTATATTTCTAAGATTACTAGGGTTTTCTCTTTCATTAGTACCTGATGATGATTGCTTGTGTTGCAATCGAAACGCCATATGCTATTATTTAATTATTATTTTCTTTCTACGTGACTTTACCGAAAGAACCAAAGAGTATTCCTGCAGTCAAGAAAGCTCTAAATTAAGTTCGAACCACCTCTATGGGGAGGTTTTAAGTTTTGTCTCTCTCCGTGTCTCTGTGTTGTCTCTCTCTGCTTGTGTCTGTCTTTGTGTCTCCATGTCTGTGTCTGGTCTCTCTCTCAAATTTCACACTTAACTTCTAATTTAGCAATCTTTGGAAGAACGTAAGCAACCAGGCTATGCGTTACCGTATTTTCCTGTATATAACTCGCGGGGTATACCACTTTTTACAAACAAAACAAGACCCTGTGGGGTATATGGAGGTGCGGGCTATCCCAAAAATATTTTATACGTGTGACATATAACTCGTTTAATTTTTTCATGGTAGGACTATCCACTATGCAACACTTACAGTTGACTGAAGAACTGCTGAATAAACCACTAACACTAAAATTGCACGTGTTATCACGTTTTAAATGATTGGAATTATTTGTACAATGTTTACATTTTCCCGTAAACTAAACATATGGCGGCCAAACCCTAGATATGAATATGAATAGAGCAGTATGGATTGCACAATGGGAAGGGTCTTAACAAGCGTCTACGAGATGTGGAATCATAATGGCCGAGTCCCTTAGGCCGCTGCTATTGGCTGAGCACTACCGGTATACAGTCGCGACCATGAGCTTTGTTTCAAACTTCCAATGGCTTTGTTGCCAGGAGACAATGGCGTTACCGTAGTGCCACTATTGTCTAAGCAGTGCGCAATCGACCAGTGCTAAAACTGTACAGGGGTAACTACCGGCAATGAGGTCGAATGCTGGTAAGCCGAACAGTACACTTACTTACTTACCTTCCAGTTATGTGTTACTTATATATTGGATATTTACTTTTGTTACTTATTTACTGTTTTAAGTTCACTCGTTTCCGGTTACCGTAGTTTGTTTTCTTTGTGCACGTTATGATTTTAATGTTAACAATTGATAGTGGAATGTATTACAAATGTAAAACTTTGTATTAATATGATGGAATTAAGCTCCGGTAAGAACGTTAAAGATATGAATGCATGCGGGGTGTATGGCGATGTGGACTATCTGAAATTTGTTTTACACAAAACGCTATTTTTGTGGGGTATATGCGTCTGTGGGTTGTACAGTGAGGGAAAAAAGTATTTGATCCCCTGCTGATTTTGTACGTTTGCCCACTGACAAAGAAATGATCAGTCTATAATTTTAATGGTAGGTTTATTTGAACAGTGAGAGACAAAATAACAACAAAATCCAGAAAAACGCATGTCAAAAATGTTATAAATTGATTTGCATTTTAATGAGGGAAATAAGTATTTGACCCCCTCTCAATCAGACAGATTTCTGGCTCCCAGGTGTCTTTTATACAGGTAACGAGCTGAGATTAGGAGCACACTCTTAAAGGGAGTGCTCCTAATCTCAGCTTGTTACCTGTATAAAAGACACCTGTCCACATAAGCAATCAATCAATCAGATTCCAAACTCTCCACCATGGCCAAGACCAAAGAGCTCTCCAAGAATGTCAGGGACAAGATTGCAGACCTACACAAGGCTGGAATGGGCTACAAGACCATTGCCATGCAGCTTGGTGAGAAGGGGACAACAGTTGGTGCGA